CACATTACAATATTTTATTCACTCAGTCACCATGCACTGACTTCTTTCTATATTTCTAGCAGTGTGTTGGGTACAAGGGTTAATAGTATAGTTAATCTTGGAAAGCTAATATAGTTAATCTTGAAAGCTTTCTCTTAGTATGAATAAGAAACAAGCAAGAACATAATCACTGTTCCATGTGTCCTAACAGAGGTCAGGGAAAATTTTCTGTAATAATACAGAGTATGGAGGTCATGCTACCAGTTGGTGACTCTTAATAACCAGTATTAATCATGGTTATCTTTTTTTTTTTTTTTGATGAGTCAGGAATTCAAAGCCCTCGTTTTATTTTTTTTTTGGTATTCTCAGCACAAGGCTTGGCATATAGTAGGTGGTTATTAAATACTTGATAACTAAATGAGTGATGTTTTTTCTTATGAAAGAAAATAAATGTTTTTAGAAGAGTCAGCTTTATACCACAGTTTCAGGGAATGAATTGTGATGAAAAGTGAAGATTGCTTTTACTTGAAGGAGGCTGACAAATTTCCCAGACCCAGGATCACTTTATGCCGTGTATGATTTAAGGGTGAGTGAGCATGCCAAAGCGCTCCACTTGAGCTGAGTAATGGGGAATGAGTTGTGGAGATGTGGTCTTAGATGGTATTTTGTGAAAAATAGTAGGAGATTTATGGCTATTAAACAACTTTGTAGCTGCCCCCTTCTTGTTTTGAAGCCTGCCAAATCGCTCCTCCTGTGGTCTGTATCATATTCCTTCAGGGCATCCATGATGTTCAGAAATATCCATTGGAATGCAGGCTCCGTGGAATGCACCCAATGGGAAGGGACTTGGTTTTTACATACTCATCTGAAGACATTTGTTTTCTGCAGCCACTGAGTAAAATTCTCACTTTGCAAATCTCTTATGGAGTGTGTTGTGTTTCCATGGACTCTTTTCCAATAAGGTTGCCCAAGTTATGCCTGCCTCCCTGCATTATTGAAATTGCAACATGCAGTATATTAGTGACTATTATCATTATTGATGTGAGTTTAAAAAATTATCAGCAACACTCCAATTGTGAGAAGGGGAAGAGGTTAGAAACCTTCAGTATGCTTTGACAAATCTTAAACAGAAGGATTTACTGGGCTGGCCTGAGTATCTCAAGCCTTGCTGTGAAAAAGGTGTACATATTTGCTATTATTTATCAGCTTCTTCCATTCTGTTGTTATGCTTAGCAGCCTTAGAAAAAACAGAAAAGGATATTTCTTTGCAAAAAAAAAAAGCCAACAATAAACAGCCTTAATCCATGTTGTGCATGTACTGGGAAATTGCTAGAAAAAACTTCCTCTCATTATGGGTTCACATCAGAATAGGGTGTTATGGATCAGAGAAGAAACAGGAATCTTTGTTTTTCTTTTTTAATTATTTAATTTTGAGAAATTTCAAATATGTAGAAAAGTTGAAAAATAATGAACACATGTAACTACCATGCAGAGTTTATATTTTCTGATATTTTGGCATATTTGTTTCCACGTTTTGTCTTTAAATAAAATAAATAAATCATATGTATAATTGAGGCTCCTCCCATTCTGTTAGCCCCAGTCCTAATATTCTGCTTTTTGGTAGAGACAACCATTTTCATGAGTTTAGTGTTTAACTTGTAAAATTTTTAGATGTTTCCATACACACTTGATGTAGAAGTACTACATATATATATATAAATATCATACCATATTTATAATTTTGCAACTTGTATTTTCACTGTGTCAAAATTTTAGACCTATTCAAGTTGAGATACATAAATCAGGTTTATTACTCTTAAATGCCAAATATTATTCTGTCATATGAATATATAACATTTTATTTATCCATTTTCCTTATTGACAGGCATTTGAACTACTTCCAATTTGTTCTGATCCAAATAATCATGCAATAAGCACTGTTTTATGTTCTACTTTATAGACTTGAGTGAAATTTTCCATAACATATACATTTGAAATGGAGTTGCTGTACCAATTTTCAATTTTATTAGATATTGCTAAATTATTCTCCAAAGTAGTTGAACCAGTATTCATTTCCACTGGCAAGTTGAACCAGCGTCCATTCCCCCTGGCAAGAAGATAAAAGTTCTTTCCCTTTCTTCTCCTTAGCACTTGATGTAAGACTTGAAAGTTTGCCAATATGGCGGGTGGAAAAATTGTATCTTGTTTTAATAATGCATTGCTCTTCAGACTAGTGAATTTGACCGTCTTCTCTTTCCTTCACTGACCACTTAGGTTTTTCCTTCTTTGAATTGCCTGACATTTCCACTGTCCATTTTTTCTATTGTATTTTTAATTATTTAGGTATATATGTATTCTGGTAGCTAACATTTTATTGTAGATGTTACAAATATCTTCAAACAGGAGTGATCTAAAAAGTAAAATGTAAAAGTATAATTCTCGTCCATAGATAGTTAGGAAATTTGGCAAGAACTCAAAAATTTGAGAGGATTTGTGATTCTGAAGATTCAGATTCACCCAAATTACCCTATTCCTATTTTAGGTATAGCTTCTTAATCCAGGTAAAAGAAACCGTTATTCAAGTTTTTCCTCTTAACGTTTCTATCATCTCATACTCAATATACTATGGGTACATTACTTCAGTTTCAAGAGAAGTTCTTTATTTTGCTCCACTTGCACTGTTGTGTAGGTACCGCATGCTGACCTATTGCACCACTGGAGTTCCAAGGACATTTATTTTGGGGCAGGTAGTGTGCAAGTTTAAGACATTACTACTTGTTCCATATGATAATCATGCTTTTCTTAACTGTGCATATAAGCATAATATTCACCAAAAAAGCATAATATTCAGAGAACAAATTGAAAAGATCACAGGGACTTCATTTTGATAATAGCCAAGTCAAAGGACTGGTGGTTAGAATCTTAATTTGTAGTCGTTTCCCTAAATATCCAGCCATAGATGTGCCACTGAAAGACACAGTTTGCAAAATTGTTCTTTTCCTGAATTCTTTTCCATAACTTGAGTTTATAAATGGACACTGAGCAGAAAAGTAATTAAACGCTAGGCATAGCATGATGACTGCAAAACAGAACTCTAGCCATGCCACTTTTGCTTTGACTACAACTGGAAATAAAGGTAAATAGCTATTTTACCCTTGGTTATAAAGCTCTAATGTTTTGCCCAGTCAGAGGTATTTGCTGAAAGGTAGTTTCTTCCAGTAATTTTAGGAAAAGCTGTCATCAAATTGTCAACAGCCCAAATTGAGATTAAACGCACTAAGAAATCTCACAATATAGCAACCTAAACTCATACTGGAATTGTAGGCCTTTTTAGCATTGAGGTGGAACAGAAACATTGACAGAGAGAGAAACTATGGCCTTTTACTAAGGAAGTATGGTAGATCTGTGGAGGGACAACTCCTATTACTTAGCCCCATATATCCTGCCTCCAGCATTGAATCGGTGCCATATTTAGAACACTGTCACTGTGTCTCATTTATCATGTGGGGATTGCAGGAGACCCTGACTGCCAAATGGAGGGACATGTGGTGACTCTAGTATTTGAAATTTAATCTAATTTCTGACTCTTTATGTTCTTGCAGTATCCTAAATGTCTAATGATATAGTATCTAGTAAGTCTTGTCTACTTTTTAAAACATTTTTCTTAGTGACTGAACTTTTTTCTTTCTGGACCCAATACCCTTGGATCAAGCTTTAAACACCACATATTTCCCTTGGAGCTGGAATGAAGTAATGCTACCTGAAATCTGTCTCTACCTTAGGGACAGAGCTTCTGATTTTGCTCCATTCAGAACTCTTTCTCTAAGTCTCCACTGAAAGCCGCTTAATCAAACATCTCAAATGTCAGAAGCGGGGTTTAAAGGGTTTTTCTAGCAAGTAGGTCTAATCTCCTACTTAGTTTTGATTCCTATAATGTAGATAATCTCTTTGGAGAAAAGGCCTGCTCCTAGCAGGGCAAATATATCCCGTAGAATGTATTTCCTATTCCAGAAAGAAAAAAGTAGCATTAATGAAATTTACTTTTTCTTGAAGCTTGGAAAGGTTGTAAGCTTAGGATTTTGATCCTAGCAGATGTTCTTTTTTGGGTATTAAAAAAAAAAAGTAGTATTTGATTCAGAAGTCTCAGTAAGAATTACAGTGGTGATGCTTCTTGCTATAAGCAGCCACGCTCTGAATGTGACAGACCAGTCATTAGTTCTGAGGGACAGCTGACCCCACAGCCATAGTCTTTCTTCCCGGCCTTATCCCCATTGTTGTAAAGCTAGAGAGAAAGAAAGATAGCACCACTTACAGATACAGGTCACACACTATACAGTTTGATGGTTAAAGAGCTGTTTGTGTACAATAAAAAATCGTCTTCAAGATACATTTCATATCATTTTCTTTTAGGTCTCAGAATGACAAAATTTTATTGATAACCATTATATCCCAGATTTCAGATGAGTTTTTCAGTGCTATTGTTAAACTCAGACAGAACCCCAACTGCATGGTGCACAATGGTTTATATCCTTCACTTCAGGCTGCTGAGCCCCCAGCCTCTCTGTGTCTCTCTGCCCTGGGGCCCATGCAAGCCAGCCCTGTTTTTCCCCATCCACCCTAGGGCAAAGCTCAGCATCCTTACTGGTTTCCAGAGCAATCTACGCATAGTGAACATGTAATCTGTGGGAAGTACTGGAAGAGGGCCTGTGGCAGCAATCTAATTCCATACCGTTTCTGGCCTTTTTCCTCTCTCTCTTCCTCTTCCTGCTTTCAGTTCAGGAAATAAACACACCATTCTCTTGTCTCAGAGCACTTCCACCTGTACCGAGGCTCCTCAAATCTTTGTATGCTACCCTACACTCACCAGAATATTATCTCAGCACAGACAACTCTTGCTTCCTAGGAAGAGTCTTGGTTGACCATATTTCTTCCAGACCCAGATCCCTAGGAGACATGTTTGGTAAATGAAGGTATTCAGTGTTTGGTGTTACTTCATGTTGACATTTTCTTTTATTACACAGGCTTCCAGTGACTGCGTCACGGCCTCTCCAGAGCACCACTATACACCCCTGCCTTCTGCTTCCAGGGATCTCACGAATCACCGAGGTAGGAACTCGGCTTTTTACTGCTCTTAGTGGTTGCAGGGAGGGACACTTGACTGTGCAGAGCTCTGGGCTTATTATTGCTGCCTCGGCACTTTAGAAGGAACACAGTGCTTTTCAAGTCCTTGATGAGAAAACCATACCTGTCAAACCTAGCGATTTTAACTCATATTAAACAGAATTTACTGGCAGTCTACTGGGAAGGCAAATAAATCCATGCTATGATATAATTTTGTGATTTGATTTTTTTTCTTTAAGTAAAGAGATTATAGTACTTAAAAATTACTAAGTAGATCATTACCTGCAGCAAAAGTGATGGAGAGAATTGGGAAACTCTAATATTTGTAAAAGTATCATTGTTTGGGGAGTAGAATAGTTGAAATCTATAATTTCAAAATGAATAAACTCTACATTACAGCTAAAAGGAATTCCAGTTTGCCTAGCAACATTGCAGAGAATCAACGCACAGTTTTCCTTAAGTTATCTGATCCTCAAAACATTAATTTTGTTTACCCAGTATTTCCAAAGCTTTAAATTCCTATTGTCATCTGTGGAGTCTGCATGGAATATAATTCAAAATTGCCTTGACCCTAAGCTGGTTGCTCAGGCCGAGGACTGTATGATCACCTTTGTTGGAACTGGGGAGGACAGGGAGAGGCCATACAGCGTAACTTATTTACCCCATTTTATGGGTTATGACAACAGCCACATTCCTTAACTGTGAATCTACCTTCCAATAGTAAATATGAACAGGCTTAGTTTGAGGGCCTTCTATACATTAAATGCCAGTTCCCCAAGCAGGAAATTCCCCTCATACATTTAGGGAACACTGAATAAGGACTGTTGTAGCTCTGTCATCTAGCTACATTGCAGAATGGATGGGTAGAAACAAAGGCTGTAGAGGACCCAGAAAGTGGTGAAGTTGGCACTCTGAGAAGACATGTGGGCTCTGGACAAATGACACACTTCTGTTCTATAGGAAATGATCAAAAATATGACACAGGGTTCTAGGTGTCTATGACTTGGACCTGTGTTGCCCCTTTGATGTCTGGGCACAGTAGAACTTTTCTTCATTTTACATATATTTTGGTCCAATTATGGTTTTGTTCACTAAGTGTCAGCTTTGTGAAAGTCAGTTTTGCTCAAAAGCAGGTAGAACCAATAGCTGCTAACATGCTATGTTTTGAGGGGTATGTATAGATCTCCTTCGCTGAATGTCCTTATGGAAGTCTCAAACATATTCCTTTAGAGAATATTTTTTTGAGGGGGATGGAGAGTTCCCCTAGGTAAATAATAATACTGTATCTAAACAAAATAACTAACTCTAGCATGGATTTATTTTTTGGTTTCTTATATTGAATAAAGGTATTTTTACTCTGTAGCTCATTGAGTACACTACATAGGAATTGAAGGCTCAGACCCATAAGCCTACTTCTGAAAGTTGATCTAGCCCTGAAATTGAGATTTCACAACAGAAGGACATGATCAGATCCATGATCATCCTCCATAATAGGACAAATTTCATTTGTTACTATAATGATAAAATAAGAAAAATGAACCTTAAAGAAATGGAATTTAAGAGTACAAGTTTTGAGGGTATATTGAGTAATATTTGGAATATGGAAGAATGCTCAAGGTGTTTAGAGTTAAAACAAGTGCCCTTTAATGACATCAGAGCCCAGCATCAATGGGAACATTGCTGTTGAAAGGACCCAGCCACAGATATCTCAATTTTACTGAAGAATTTGCCTAAAAACTTAATGCTCTGGTTAAATTTGCCTACAAATTTAATGCTCTGGTTGCTTGATGCTAAGGACCTGGTAGTGAAAAAAAGCAGGTCAGCATCATGAAACGACAGGCAGGTCTTTGGGCCTATGGCATGTGGACACCACTAAAAACAGAGCCCACAAAGTCATTAAGGTTGAATTTATATAAGGCTGATACATGTAGGAAAGAGATGAAACTGATATATTTTAGCTGGGCATGAATCACACAATAACAAGTAGGAAAAGCCTGATTTTTTTGGCACCCAGAATGAAACAATTTAATGCCATCTTTTTTCTTTTTTTAAGATTTACTTATTTATTTTAAAGAAAGAAAGAAAGAGTGCATATGAGTGAGGAGTAGGGCAGAGGGAGAAAATCTGCAGCCTCTCCTCTGAGTGCAGAGCCCAATGCAGTCTCCATCTCATGATCCATGAGATCATGACCTAAGCTGAAACCAAGAGTTGAATGCTTAATGGCCTGAGCCACTGAGGTGCCCCAATGCCACCTTGTTTTTTCATATTTAAGTTAAATTATTCTATATTTTTGATCATATAAATCACCAAACTATTTGGCTATCATTTGTTAACACCTTTATGGAAGCAACTTACAGTTATCCAGAGAGGCTCTTTCACATGTGAAGACAAATTGCATCAGGTCTTGCCCAAGTGAAATCTTCCATGATGTCTGAGACTTGGTCTATAAAATCTTAAGTGAAAGTTCTATTTGCAAATAATTTTTGATTCATCCAGTTCCCAATCTCTTTTCATTCCGCACCAACAACTACATAAACTGGCTGGCAGTAGTTCACGTGCAAATTGCTGTTTTTCTATACATGCCATTTTCTCTTTACTTGTCCTTTTATGTTACTTCCAGTGTCAAGTATGATAGACTCAAGATTTATGTCCAAAGGACTGTAGATTCAAATACAAAGGAAATTTGGGCCCAGAATAAAGATCAGGATATAGGGATTCTATTTTTCTGTGTATAATTTATAGTTAATCCATGCATCGTAGGGATAGTAATGCACAGTACTTTTTGATTCTTGTATGAATTTTTTTTCTGTATTGATTTTTCCTCTTCCCGAGGTACTTAAAATATTTGTTTCTATTTCCTTTGTGCAATTTTATATATTCTGCTTTGTGTTCAAGAAGCCTAGTAATGTAGGTTTTCGAACTCTTTATAAATGAAAGCTTCCTGAAGGGAGTACAGATTCTAATCTTTCTTCTCCTTCACATCCCTGACTTCTGCTCATCTTCAGGTATCAGCCTATCACTGCTGTAAGGATGACTTTTCTGATCCTTGCCCACCCTTCCCACATTTATATTAGCTCAGTGTTCTTTTTCAGGCTTTTTTTTTTCTAGTGCCTTCTTGGACAGTATAAGCTATTGAAGGCAATGGAGGAGATTGTGTCTATTTGCTCACCACTATACCTACAATGCCTGCCACAGGGCCTCCTGCTTAATAGGAGCTCAATAAATATTTGTTCAGTAAATGATGAATGGTAGAAACCCAGAAGAAAGTCAGTAATTTAGATGCCTCTGTGAAGTAACTTGATTGTGTCTGAGAAAGGAGACCCATTTTCCTTTAGGAGTGAGTGATAGGGGAAGAAAAGGCCAGCCTTGTGGACCTCAGACCTCAACTCTGTTTCACAAACCCAAATCATCATGGTTGGGGCCATATGTATTGATTCATTGTCAGGAAGCATTTAGCCACATTGTATAACTTCCAAGTAGGTAATAATTTTTTTGTCATAGTTTTCAAACTCTGGTGTTTCGATGGTAGGAAGAAAATAGGATGAATTGAAGCAACTAATGGAATCATTTTACTAGTAACAGAAGCTCTCAAAGAAGGGGCTACACTCACCATAAGATGCAGGCTGTGGTATAGATGAGGTTTTATGATTGTGCACTTGAAATCTGAGAATTCTGCTGTAGGTCTAAACATGTCTTTGGAGTACAGGGACTATGGGGCCATGTCAATAACCCCAATTGTTACCTAGTGGCAGTCTACTTACTATATCCTCCATGGGTATCCACATTAAGAAGAGTGTTGGGAGTGTTCCCTGGAGAAATGTTTCTTTAAATATGTGCATAGGGCATACACCTGTGTGCCAAGTATTGCCACTCTTTATCTGGTAACTGTTGGAAATGGACTTTGCATTTACGTAGACCACTGCATCTTTTAGGGAAAACATTTCTATTTAGTGAGTTGACCATATCATCCTCAAGACAACTCTAGAAAGTAGGGAGGGTAAATATTAATATTCCCATTTAACAGAGGAAGGCACCAAGAATTGCCAGGGGAGACTGAGTGACTCAGTGACAGAGGCAAGGAAAAGAAAAAATCAGAGTTCTGTGTCCTTGATTCCCAGGCCACCTCTGATATTTGTCCTTCACACAGGACATATGAAGCAAATGCAAGACTGACTGTGGCATTGTATTAGAGCGAAGAAAGAAGTACAGGCAGAGAAATGGCCTGGAAACGTCCACTGCTGGGGTGGATTTCTACAGCTTGAGCTAAGGCTGCAGTGAAGTATAGTACTCGCCTCTTCTGTCAAAGGGATTGACTGTCATTCTCCTTTCCTCCCTTCTTTAAAATTTCAAATCTATAAATTCAAGAACAGAGAAAGTTTGAAAAACCAAAGAGGAAGATCCTATGAAATCAGTCTGAATTCAGATAGGGAAAATGGAAGGCCCACTATGTATTCACATGATGAAGGGGTTTAATGTAAGGAATGAAGAAGAGGCTGGTCCAGTCAGGGAAGACCCCACCCAGAGTCCCAGCCTCACATGGAGGCTGGTGATTCTCGAGAACTTGCTAAAGCTTCTGCACATGTCAGGAACACCTGGGAATATCCTACTGACTTTCTCTACCTGCAGTGCCCACGTGGGAGGGATCCTCAAGAAGTTCACCTGGATACTGCTTCAAACATTAGAACTACCCAGGCAGTGCCCTGCTCTTCTTTCTCTCTGGATTTCCAAGTCATAGTCCAGTGTCTCACTTTGGCCTGTTCTAACCTAGAACTACATGCCAAGGAACATTTTAGAAATTCAGCTTCCAGTTCCTTCTCTGAGCTGCAGAGATAAGGTTGGAAGAGGGTGGTGATGATGCCAGGTGATAACAGGCAGTAACGCACACATACTGTGATCTGACATTGCCTGTAGCTAACACACTAGGGGTCCCGTTCCAGTGCATTGGTGTGCACATTTTGCAAAGTAATTGCAAGCCCAGTGAACAT